CGACAGCAACTTGTCTATTCCCCTTCCCCCAATTCCCCAGCACTGTTCCCATCCCCCCAATTCCCCAATAAAAATCTTTAAAAAAAAAAAAAGAGTTAGCTTAAGAGCACAAGCTCTGAGCAACAGGGCTGCCAGTTCAATTCCCACATGGGCCAGTGACGCTGCACCCGAGCTGCCAACAGGTGGCAGGATGGCCCAACTGGTGAGAGCACGTGCTCCTAACAACAAGACTGCCTGTTCGATGGTGGGGTACATCCACCCACAACTAAGACTGAACTCTGCACCTTGAGCTGAGCTGCTACCTGGATGGCTCAGTGGATAGAGCATGCACTCTTAACAACAAGGCTGCCGGTTCGACTCCTGCATGGGATGGTGGCTACGCCCACCTACAACTAAGATTGTAACACAGCACCTTGAGTTTAGAGGCTGTGAGCTGCCAATGGGAAGCCAGATGGCAAATCCTCCACAACTAAGACTGAAGAACAACAACTTGGCTGGTCCCCCTCCCCAATTCCCCAACACTGTTTCCCCCCCCCCAATTCCCCAATTAAAAAAAAAAAAAGAATCCAAGTTGCTTTATTAAGCGAAACAAAAGCAGTACAAAATAACCAAACCAACCAAAAACCAAAAGTTCCCTGGGGGTTCTGCTCTCAGCTGCTGATCCAACTCCCATTGTCCCCTTCCCCTTGCGCCTTCCCTGGTCCCCCTACCCTGCTCGTGGTGCGCCCTCTCTCTTATGGGTGGATCTCTGCTCTCTGACCTGCTTCTGTCTTCCCCAAACCAGTCGACAGGTGATGATAATGGACGCGAACTTGCCCCAACTCACAAGAACAAATGAAGAAGTCACATTGAGGCTTTCAGTTAGAACACAATTGAGAGAATGTATGGTGGTAAGTAGAGGCGTGGGAGAGTGAACTCAAGAAAAATAGAGCTCCTTAATGATTAACCTCTCACTTTCATATTGCTTAGTATAATTAATAATATAATGAACAGCAATCCTCATGCTCCCAATTTTCACATATGGTAACAATACCACCTGGAGATATTGTTAAAATGCAGATTCTGAGTCAGTAGGTCTGGGGAGAGGACAGAGCCTTGATATTCCTAACAATGTCCCAGGCATGCCAAAGCTGGGGGTCCAACGACTGTACGTTCCGTAGCAATAGGTTCAAGTGTTACCCCTGTTCTCTGGCTGCTCAGGGACCATGAGGAAGAGTCACTTGCCCCAGGGAAAAGTGTGACCTTCTCATCAGCAGTCTGTTCAGGTGTTGTCATACCCACACAATCTGCCCCTTGTTAACCACCGCTGTTCTCGGGCCAAGGCCCAGGCATCTCCACCACCTCCTGCAAGGAGGGCGCCCTCTGGGGCAGCACAAGTATTTATTTATCTACAGCATGAGTTTCCTAACTCAGGTTAGATCTAAGGACAATGATTAAATAGAAAGCTAACTTGGGAGCATGAGGATTGCTATTCATTAAAATGCATTCTAGAAATGGCCCTCACCCATAAGAGAAAGATTTCTCATCATTCAGCAAAGAGTAACACAGCTGCTTTGTCACAATTTTCTATGTACAGTCCAAGAATATGTATGTTAATGTGGGGTGGAAGGGAGGCCTAATCATAATTCCTAAATATTATGTGTGTTTATCATAACCAAGAGGATAAAAGGGATGAGAATATCTGCATAGACGTTTGTGATAATGGCAGTTTCTGGTGGCGATAGGAAATGAAAGTCCATTTCCACCCAAGACAGTGTTAGGTGTAAAAAACTGTGCAGAGCCAACAAAGTGACATATGATATAATTTTGTGCTTATGTAATTAATAAGACTATGTTTTAAGAACAATGCTAGTACAATAAAATAAAGCAATCTTTTTCAAACCTACCCAAGTATCAGTAAAGGACAAGAAACCCATGGAATAAATGATGTTGAAAATAAGAAACAGTTTATGGGACATTCTATTAGTTCTGTTTAACCCATTTTTATTTGTAGCTTCCAATTAAAAATAAATGTATAGCTATAAAATTATCTTCGTATTTTAAAAATTTTAGGAAAATGTAACTTTTTACATGTTTGAGATATCTAACCTAATCCTCATTTTCTATCAATTATTATAAGTCTTTTGCAACTAAATTTTTGAACAAGTGAGATATTAGGATCACAAATATAAAATTAAAAGAGAATAGATGACATCCACAATCATGTTTGAATATAAAGATCATGTAATCCTTTAAGGCTGAAGAAAACCTGTGGTAACCATAATGCTTAAACATTTGTGACAAGGGTCATTTTGCTGGTCTCATGAAGTCTACGGAAGTCTTCTCAGAAAATTATTTTAAATGAATCAGTAAAATGCACTGGATTACATAGGAAAGCTACCATATTGAGGAACAATGATAAAAGGATTAAAAATCACCTTGTGATACAGTAATATATTTGTCAACACATGAGCTGAAAAGACAATACATTTAAAATATAGACAAGTTCAATTTTAGTTTAGAAAGATTATCTATGTGATGGCTGTGGTTGTTGAGCGTGAATAAGGGCCTTAAACTGTGTTTGTTACTGGTCTGACAATGAATCACATATATGGATCGTACTGGACATCTAATGGGTCCCAAGTTTTTGTGTTGAAAATTCTGATTCATGAAGATATATTGTTGCAAATGTAATAGAAAGGTAAACAAGACAAGGTTAGGCATCTCTTAAGAAATCAGAACCTCCAAAGTGCTCTGAGTAAAATCCCAGTGGTGAGAACGCTTGAATTCACTGTTAGGGGCTGACGGGTTCTTCAGGGCAGAGCTGCCCGTCACCGGGACAAGCTTCAAGTGACAGGCAGATGGCCCCAGGCACGACCAGGCAGCCCAATGACAACAGCCCTGTGTTTTGTTTTGTGTTGCGTTTTTGAGTAGCAATGAGGGCAGGCAATATTTCAAGATCTCTAAATCTATAATGTGGCACAAACATATGCATGTTTCTCCCCGTGGTGACGTCACACACACTGCGAATGCTTGGATGGTTGATGGCGTTCACAGCGGAAGGAATGCTCAATTCCAATGGGAGTTTAGCAATATAAAGACACAGCTTCTTTCCATCTGAGTGCTCAGACAAACCGAATTCTAGACACAGAATCCTCAGGTCTATGGACTCCGGGATTAAACCCCTGTGCCGAGCATTAACCAGACGAAAGATAAAGTTATCGTCAAGATTCCATTGGCTCATCTAACACCCAGGTTTGGCAGGTCACTGTTTTCCTCTCACAACTGAGGCAAGCAAGAGCGAGAGACATCACTTTCCTTGTGAGCGAACGGTCATGAAGTTCTAGAGGGGCACAGCAGCTGGGGCCTGGCCGCACTTCCGGCTACAGGCCTGGCTTCAGCTTCCTCACCCCAGGGGTCTGGCTGGGGTCACGGGCCTGCGTGAATGCTGCCCAGAATGAGAGCTCCAGGCCCTGGGGACTCACTCCCCTCGTCCCCACCCCCCACCGCCTTCCCCAAGCCCGAGACCCATGTGCTAACACAGGAATTTGAGGACGTGGGGACAGAAAACCTTGTGACCTGGACTTCAGCCTCTGAAATGAGACTTACAAAAGCGGACTCCCCGTGTCCCGGCCCTCTGAGGATGTGCCTGTCCTCCTCCCCCTCGGCCCTCTCTGTCTTCCTCTTCCCTCTCCGCAGACTAACACGGCTCCTCTTCCCCGCCTCCTCCTCCCAGATCAAAGCTCACCTGATAAGCAGCATTCCAGTTGATGGCCCTTTTAACTATAAATTCACCGGCTGCCTCTGTGAAGATTATCCAAGAACCTTCTATTGGGACTTCCAGGCCAACCGTAAGTAGAGGGCTCAGCCCAGGGAAGAACTGTCCACAAGGGGGAGACACCATGAAGAGAAATGTCGCACCAGATCGGGAGCAGAACCCAGGGCAGAAGGATGGAAGGGAAGGAGGGGAAGAGAGAAGGACAGTAGATGGAGACCATGCCCAGGTTCGAAAGGTGAGGGGTGGTGTGAGGAAAGCTCATAAACCATAGCAAATGATTTGGGGAAACTGAGTCCCAGTGGGGAAGTGGCTGGTCCTAGTAGAAAGTGAGGACACTGAGGGTTAGAGTGTCATCAGAGATGACCTTTGTTCTTGTCTCTTTCAGGCACTGTAGTCATCGCAGCTGTGGTTGACGTCATTCGTCAACTGAATATCTGCCCTAACAACAATAAGGCAGTGATACCCATCGAAGCGAACCGTTTTCATGTCTTGAAGACCCTCTACGTAAACTGATCTTACTGGAAGGTTTTGTCTCACTGCGCCCTGCCCGAGGCGGCTTCCTCTGAGGCAACTTGGCTGGGCTGTGTGCTGTGGCTACAAAATAAACTTCTCACAGGCTTCTCTGTGTCCCGCTGTGTCTTCCCTCCAAAATCCCTCCCAAAGGAGCCTCGAGTACCCCGATTTTCTAGGCCTTTCTCTCAAGGAACTGAGGAGTTTGTGGGTTCTCACTGCCCATGATGAGGGAGATAAGTAGGGATAGAGAGGGATCTTTCTCACAGAGAGGAAAAGTAGTGGCCCTAAAACTCGCAGCCCCTGAGGGGCAGAACCTGCACAGGCACCCAAGGCTCCCTACCCCTTGGCCTTCTGCGTGTCACTGTCCTTCCAGGAGCCCCTCAGGTCCCAGGAGGTGGGAGTCATCTGCACATAGCAGTCAGGGACAGAGTCTGTGGTCCCAGAATAAGCCACAGAGAGTCAGGGTATTTTCCATTGGCTCCCCTAATTATTGATTGAGAGCTGTGTCCCAGTATTGTCTCCCAGGCACACTAGGCGCCTGCATTCCAAGATGTCCTCCACGCAGGGACTGGCTGGCATCTGCAGGGAGCAGCCTTGGTGTTTCTGTCAGTGCCTGTTCCTATCCCAGGACCCCACCATCTCTGTCACCCATCATCATCAATGTGATTTAGGAAAACTCAACTTTTCACCTGTGTAGGTAAAAACCCAGATCTTCCCTATTGTGTTTTTCTCCGTGTGTCACCTTGAGTTTTACACGACTACCACATTCACACAGAATACTTCTGTTCACCAAATGTGTGGGGTTTTTTTCCCCCCACAACAAGCAATTCTCTGTCACACCAGCTGGTGTCCAATTCAACTCAGCTATGACACTATCTACCCCGAGCACCAGATCCTACAGGTTAAGGGATCAGTCCTACCAGACAGAGATGAACATCCAGATGGGAGGGGTGCACAGGAAAAGGTGTGTGGGGAGGGGACGGAGCTCCCATGCCATCACCAGAGGTGCCACTTTCCCAGCACTCCCAAGTGCTCACTAACCTGGAAGCTCTCTGAACCCTTCCTTGGGGGCTTTCATGGAGGCTTCATCGCATAGGCATGATTCATTCAAGCATTGGCCATTAGGACTCATTCAGCCTCCAGGGAGCAGAGAAGAGGAGATTGGAAGTTCCAACCCTCTAGTCACCTGGGTGGTTCTCCAAGCAAGCTGCCCCCATCCTGAGGTGCTTTCCAAAAGTCACCTGATTAACCTAACAAAAGCCACCATTATCACTCTTATCACAAGAAACATCCAGGGTTGGGGGAGCTATGAGCCAAGAATATGGACTGACAAATACCAAATATATATGAGGAATATATTTTGGTCATCTGAATGACCAAATCAGTATTTCTTATAAATCAGAATATAGCAATCTGTGTCTCTGTGCTGGTGGGCTTTTCACAGAAATATGGAAGACAACTCTGCTAACATACATGGTGGGCTGAGGGGCTGGGTAGAGACGGAGACACTGAAAACCCTGAGGAGCAGCCCTCAACAAATAACTGATGGCCGCTGACATGGATATGCCAAAGCGCATGCCCTTGGGGTGTCATAATTATGAGCCACGTGTTTTACACCATTTGCCAGAGAGTCCCCCAGGATTAAGTTTAGCCTTCCACTGCGGATACTGGCTTAATAATGTACGCTCTATTTATTACATTCCCCTGAGTATATCAATACCCATACTCCCCTGCCTGTGTTCCCTAAATTTTCCAAAAAGCTAAAAAATACTTCCATTCAAATCTTTGTCTCCAAGTCTGCCTCTGGGGGAACACAAATTAAAAGAAAGATTTCATTGTGTTTAAGAGTAATGATTGCTAAGATCAGGCTAAAGCACCAACAGCAATTCCCACAAAGAAGGGAAGAAAAAGAAAACTATCGTATCGTATCAAATAGCAATGGCATGAAATGGCTCCAAAACATTCTGATATGTCTCTTTTGGTGTAGCCACTTTAGCTAGCTAAGGTCCCATTTTTTATGGGGTCTAACCACAAATCGAAACAAACCATTAAAATTTTAGGCATGTGTCAGGGTCAGAAATGGGGTGAGGGTTTTAAGAGGAGATATTTTCATGGGAAACTACATAAAACTCAGAGTCAAACGGTTACCCAAAATGTATACATTAGAAAGGGCCACAAGTCACAGAAGCAAAGTATGTGCAATACCAACAATATCAGCACAAGGCAAGAATTCTACTTCCAGAGTGGGAAACCAGAGAACCAGGAAAAGGTGACTTGAACACTGTAAAACTGCGAGACAGAGAGGGGTGACCATGGAGAGAAGAGAGAGTCCCGGGTCAAGTTGAAACTCCAAACCCACATTGTAAGACACGTACAGAAACTGATCCTCGGGTATAAAGTTTCAGTAAAGCAAGATAAATAAGCTCCAGAGTTCACTCTTCAAATTGTACCTACAGTCAGCAATGCTGTATTGTACACATAAGTGATCACCATAAACAATTACATGCCAACAAATTAGATAACTTGGGAAAAAAATAGATTCATTCCAAGAACCATATAATCTACCAAGACTGAATCATGAAGAAACAGAAAATCTGAACAGACCAGTAACAAGCGAGGAGATTGAAACAGTAATCAAAAACCTCCCAACAAGTGGGCTGGCCGAGAGACGCATTGGTTAAGAGCTGGCTTGGGACGCCAGAGGGCCCCGGTTCGGATCCCACATATGAGGGCCAGTGACACTGCCCTCTACAGCTAAGATG